CGCTCCCGCCGCCCACGCCAACTCCCGACCCGGCCGGCGTCGCAACCGTCGCAACCGTCGCCGCCAGGTTTGGGGGGACCCCAACAAACGTCGCAACCCCCCAGCCCCCGCCAACAGCTCCCCAAAAGCTGAGGTGGGTTCGGAGAGGGGAGGTGGAGCGGTGGGATCAGGGGTCTCCTCTTCTTCCTCCTGCTCCTCATCCTCTCCTTCTTCCCGGGGGGGTTCCTCCTCGGAGAGGCGAGAGGCAATCTGCATCTCGAAGATGGTGTCCTCGCAGAAGCTGACGAAGAGCTCCATCTTCTCCGCCTCCCCCCCCTCGTTGACCACATCGAAGATGAACTGGCGCTTGGATTCCTTCACTTGGGGCATCTCCCACTGTGCCTTGTTGGCGGCGCTGATCTCGAAGTAGAGGCGTTCGATCCGCCGAGCGGCTCCCATGATCTCGATCCGTCCCAAAAAAGGACGGAAATACTCCAAGATGCTGGCCGCTTGCTCCAAGAAGGTCCGGAGACGTTGGTCATGGGGAACATGCTCTGAGAGGTTGGTGAGGAGCACGGCCACGTTGAAACCGATGTCGCGAGCAGGTTCTTGAAAGCGACCGGCAAAGGCTTCCACGTCGATCATCTCATTCTCGTCCGCCTCCGAGCAGGAGAGCAGGAACTGGATCTCGGCGGGTTCGTATTGCTTCTGGCTGTCCATCGCCTTCTGGAAGTCCTTCTTGGAGATGAGACCTCGCGGGTCTGAGACGTAGTCGCGGAAGGCGTCTGAGGCCACGATGTCCCGCAGTTTCAGGAACATGTCGAAGAACTTGAGGATCATGGTGACGTTGCTGGAGGACTCCACCAGCATGTCCACCATCTGCCGAGCAATGGTCCCGTTCACCACGTTGCCTGTGGAGGTGGAGAGGGGGGTGTCTTGTCAGATCTGGGGGTGCTGCAGGGACAGCCCCGGTACCTGGGGACACCCTGGAGAGCATGGGGACGGCTCTTGTGGCTGGGGGATACCCCAGGTGACCGAGGACACCTCAAGTGGTATGGGCCACCATGGATGGTGGGAACACCCTGGAGAGCGAGGGGACACCCTGAGGGACAGAGGACACCCCTGATGGCGTGGGGACAGCCTGGGTGGTGAGGAGGCCTCGTCTTGGGGGTGTTGTCTCCCCCCCTGCAGTGATACGGGTGCCCTGGGTGTCATTAGGAGATCCTGGATGGTGGATGGGATGTCCTAACCCCAGGTAGCATGGAATAGCAAGGACGCCCTGTATGGCAGGGGGACGTTGGGTGACATTGGGGCACCCATGGCAGCAGAGGGGTCCTGGACACCCCGGGGTGGGGGGACGATGACGATGACAAGGGGACCCCACCTTCTAGCAGGGACAGCAGCATCACCACCATGTCCTTCTGCAGGTCCAGCAGCTCCTTCAGCAGCCCGATCTGGCTGGAGTCCTGGGGGAAGGACAACATGGGGGGGGGACACACCATGAGCCCGAGGTGGCCCCCCCCATGCCGTGACCCCCACCACAGCCCCAAACCCCCTTACCTGGGGGCTCGACCCGCTCCAGCACCGCTCCTCGCGCCACGAGACAGAGGGTGGGTGGTGGACCCCCCAACTCGCACGCAACCCAAGCGGGGGGTCTGGGGGGGCTTTGCCATGCCATGGGGGGGGCAGGGGGTTGGTTAGCAAGGCCATGCAATGCTGGGGAGGGGGACAGGGCGGTGGGGGCTCGGCGGGTGCTTACGCCCATCCGGGGTCCCGACGTTTGGCCCATCTGGCGGCAGCGGGGCGGAAAGTTCCGTCAGAGCCAGCTTGGGGTGTCATGGGGTCCCCCTGGAGTGTCATGGGGTCCTCCCCATCTTGGGGTGGGGGTTCTTAGGGTGCCCCGGGGCCAAGGGGATGGGTTGGGGGTTGGAAGGGGGGCTGCTGGTGCCACTGGGGACCTAGGTGTCCCCAACCCTCCCCACCTTGGGACAGCAAGGAGGGGCCAGCGGGTTAGTAGGGGGTGGGGGGGTCCCAGTGCTCCCAGTACCCTCCCAGTGCCCACCTGGGCCAGCTTCTTCATCATGTGCGCGAAGACGTGGAGGAAGCCGACGACAGCGTCCCAGAGGCGGCTGTGAGCCAGGCTCTGCTGGTTCCCCGTGCAGGGACCCTGCGGGCAGCAGGCACTGGCACTGCTGGCCCCAGTGACCCACAGAGACCCCCTGGGGATCCTCGGGGATGGTGGGACCCCCTAAGGGGTCCTGGCAGCCCCAGGGAATTGGGAACATCAGGGACACTGGGAGCCCTGGGACATTGAGGGTCTTGGGGACCATGGAGAACCTCAGGATCCCTTAGACACAGGGGTCCTCCCAGGGACCTTGAGGACCTCCCAGGGACCCCCAGGGACATCAGGGTCCTTGGGGACCACCAGGGACATTGGGATCCCCAGGGACCCCCAGGGACATCAGGGTCCTTGGGGACCACCAGAGACATCGGGGTCCTTGGGGACCACCAGGGACATCAGGATCCCCAGGGACCTCAGGGACCTCCCAGGGACCCCCAAGGACAGCAGGGTCCTTGGGGACCACTAGGGACATTGGGATCCCCAGGGACCTGGGGGACCTCCTAGGGACACCGGGGTCCTTGGGGACCCCCAGGGACATCAGGATCCCCAGGGACCTCCCAGGGACATACAGGACATACAGAAACACCAGGATCCACAGGGCACCAAGGCTCCTGGGGACCCCTAGGGAGCTTGCACCACCCTCTCCAGCCCCCCACGGACATTGGGGATGGGGGACTGCGGGGTCCATCCCACCTGGGTGTGCTTAGTGAGGGACTGGGGGGGTGCCTGGGCAGGGTGGGGGGCTCACCTGGATGTACTCGGTGAGGCTGTTGAAGACCTGCTTGGCCACAGCCATGGCCTTGGAGAAGTTGCGCTTCCCCTGCTCGTCGATCACGTCCTTCCCCGAGTAGTACCAGTAGAAGTCGCTGATGGACTCCTGCCACCGGACGGACACCATCAGTGGTGGGGTGGGGGGGGACAGGGACACAGGGACCACTGGCAGCACGAGGATACGGGGATGGGGACA